TTACATCCAAAAGATTTTCATTCTATTCAAAACTATTTTGGCACTTGTGGTTGTATCAAAATTTCAGCCAAGTATCTGGAAAATGATATTCTGTCACTGTCAGTCTGATGTGTTGAGTTTCATCTTTCAAKCCCAATTCTGTTTCTGTCGGTGACAGCAAATTAATCAAGAGAATGTTTTGACGTTAAGTATGGTGCTTGAATTAGTTTCTTTGAGTTTTCAAGCCAAGCAACAAAGAAGATGATTTGAGGAATCAGCTGCTGCATTCATGTACTGTACAAGTGGCTAATGTGTTGTAAGTTGTGGTGGCAATTTCTGTGAAACAAGCACAAAGTCAAACACTTCTTTCTGAAGAAGATATACTTTATTGAAATTCCTTTTACACTCATTTTTATTTATTCATGCAGTTTTTAACCCACAATCCCACACATGCAAATATGGAGAGAGATGGGTTTGGTGCCTTGCTCAAGGGCACCTCAGCAGTGCCCAGGAGGTGAACGGGCACCTCTCCAGCTACCAGTCCACCTTCCATACCTTAAGTCCATGCTGGACTTGAACCAGCCAAATCTCTATGGACTGAGCTACTGCCCTGTAAATTTAATTCAGCATCTGCAGATGATCAGTACACATCACCTGAATGACATGCACAAATGGGCAAAGAACATAGGAGAATCTGTGTACTTATAACTCACAGCCCCCCTTCCTTATAGTTTCACTCAGTGGAGGAGACATCCTTTCCTTATGTGTTTACATATTCTGCGGAAGACTCCCCAAGTGAGACCCCAAACAGAGATAACATGAGAAACCATAAAGTTGTGGTTTCTCAATGCCGTAATTCAAAGTCTCTTAATCCATCATAAACCCTAAAGTTGCCCTTTAAAATAAACCATTTGGTCAGTCCTCTACATACACGTCTGCTCATGCAATTATACATACAAAAAGATACATTTCCAATACAAAGTGTACAAGTGTTACTGTAAATGCTTTTACTAAGTCGTTTGTATGATTTCTAGATACCTGTTTGAACTTAATRATAAATATTGGAATACATATTTGTGTGGTTATGCCTACTGGGCTTCAGCAGGAGGACTAATAGGTACCTGCATGTACTATAATGAAAGATGTGCA